GGGGTGGGTGGGTGGGGGGGGGCGTTCTGTTGCTTCTGGCACTGCTCAGCCTTGTCCAGCTCTTCCTCACTGCCTGGCAAACTTACCCTGTAAGGTTTTATCTAACTCTCATCTCCCTACCTGTCTGCCTGCTCATGCATGCATGCATGTGTCCATCTATCCATCCATCCATGCGCCCACCCATTCATCTGTCCTTTGAAGTGCACATAGGGCTCTGTGCACAGGAATTGTACTGTTAGCATGAAAAGGCGCCCTGGTGGTTCAGTGGCTAAACGCTTGGCGGCCAGCCCCAAGATCAGTGGTTGGAGCCCAAACAGCTGCTCGGTGAGAGAGAGATGCGGCAGTCTACTTCTGGAGGGAGCGCAGCCTGATAACCCTACCCTAGATGGCCAGTTCTGCTCTGACCTATAGCCTCCCTGAGGTGGAGCTGATGGCCAGGAGTGGGTGACCCCTTTCCTATCAGGGAGCCTCCCAGGCAGGTGCTTTCTCTCAGTGCTGAGTCTGCCACTTAGCCCTGCTTATATCTAACCCGCAATTCCCCAGACAGCGGGTCATTTTCTACAGACTCCTCCACGAGCCGAGCCGAGCCTGCCGGCTGCTGCAGAGCACTGCTCTGTAGAGATTCCTGAGGAGCCAGTGGTGGGCGGGCCCGGTGGACCCGTCTCAGCATCAAGCACTTGCTCACGGCCTTGTGGTCTGAGTCAAGAGTCTGGTGTTTGCTAGAGATTTGTTCTAGCTGAAAGTGGGTCAGATGCACGGGTACCGTTAGCCGAGGTGTGCGCAGGAAGCATACAATTCGCCTGTTTCTGAGACAAGAAGAGGCAAAGACCAAAAAGGAAACTCAAGACCTTTCATTTCTGTGGAAGTGCGACTGGGAGCACGGGCAGACCCTCTGTAGGAGCGAACTAACCTACTGAAGGGGGGCCAGAGAAGGAAGACTTTTTCCTGAGCCCTGGAGCAGTTGGAACGTCGTCAACATGCTGGTGTCTTAAAGGGGGTGAGGGTGGTGGCGGCAGCAGTCGAGCGCTGTCCAAGGAGCCGGAAGCATCACAGAAGAGCTAGGAGAGACTGCTGACTGCTGACTGGTCCCCCAGTGTGACATGATGATGCCGTGCGTCTTTGCTGCTGCTCAGAGACAGCGCTCCATTGGGGTGGTCTGTTATCGCACAGCTGCGACAACGGGCTCAGGCGTAGGAACAGTGTGAGGACGGCGGTGCAGGAGTGGGCAGGGGTTCGTTCTGTTGTGCAGAAGGTTGCTATGGGTAGGAACCGACTAGAAGGCACCTAACAACAACACTTTCGCATTTCTTTAAAGAGTGAATGAATTCAACTTAAAGAATTATTCTTTATACTGAGATTAAATTTTTTTTGGAGATTAAATTACTTTTAACCTTTGTGATACTGTTTTTATTTATGTAAGGGCAGTTTGGCATTATGTTTTGATAAATGCAGTCTATTTATCTCTGTTTCCCATTGAGCTGTTAACCACAAGGTCAGCAGTTCAAAGCCATCAGCCACTCCTTGGGAGAAAGATGAGGCTGTCGTCTATAAAAATGTCAAGTCTCAGAAAACCAAAAGGGCACGACCAGCCTGTCCAATGTAGGGTCCCTCTGAGTTTGGACCGACTCAGTGGCAGTGAGTTTGGTTTTGGTTCAAACAACAAGAGCAACAAAAAATTCTTTACTGAAACGAGAACCAAAATTCCCCCAAATTTTGATTAGCCCTGTATTTACAGTAGTTTTCCAGCTTGGTAAAATGAAACGCCAGGTGACCCTGCATTAATCTCCCACATTATTGTTAAGGAGAATTTACTGATCCACATAGTCTGATTCAGTTCAACGTCCCTCCTAATTGCACAGCAGGAAAAGAGAGTTGAAGGAGGTCAAGGGTGAAAGCACTACGTAATGCTTACGGTCCCTCGGGTTACGGCTAAGCTGGACTAGATCCAGGGCCCTGGCTCCCCAGAGACCAAGGTGTTTAGCTCCTACTCAAGAATTATTTAAAAAGATCTCTTACCATCATGACAACCTCCCCACGGCGCAAACAGACTCCACAGGATAGCTCACTGAAGAGTATCTGTATTTATAGGAATTATAAACAAATGCACACTTACTTCATAACCTCTGCTTATAAGCTTATAAGTCCATTTTGCTCCTATCAGTCATAAGATGGCTCAGTCTTGCTGTAGACAACCTGCCACTTCAGTAATTATGAACCTCAAACAAGATGCACCCACTTACTCACACCCACAGACTCAACTATGTAAACATCAGCAGATAACTCACATGACCAAGACAAATAGGAAAGTCTTTCAGCCCAACCCCGGGGGCAGGAAAACATTCCAACCAATGCTGCCAGAGGGAAAATGTAGTCATTTCTCCCCATTTTGCCAGTCGTTTTAATTACTCATTGTAATGACGGCATGGATGGGATTTTCCAGTGTCTGAGGTTATCTGGGTTTGCTGCTTAGTGTGCAGGCTTATAGTTGATCTCTTGTCCCTGTAAAAATTTTGCACTAGATGTTATGAATACAACACAATTATGTTAAGTGGGCCCAAATGAAACAGAATCCCTTACCTAATATAAGGCAGGTCACAATAATATCCCACTCAGAGCTCTTCGAGGTATTGTTTTTAAATTTGGAAATAATTATCAACTTCAAAGGAAGGTTGCGAAAACAGTACATCTCTATATATCCTCCACCCACTGCCACCAAGGCTATTCTGACTCACAGCGACCCTGTAGGGTTTTCAAGGTCATGTAAACTTCTATGGGAGCAGATAGTCTGTCTCATCTTTCTCCCTCAGAGTGATTGGGGGGCTTGAACCACTGACTTTGCAGTTAGCAGCGCAATGCTTACCCAACAGCACCACCAGGCCTCTTTATTCTTGACCCCCCCCCCAAATGTTAACATCTTATTTAACTAACCTTGGTAGAAAGATCAAAACCAGAAAATTAACGTTGGCACACTACGATTAAAAATCACAGACTTTATCAATATCTCACCAGTTGTCCTACGACTGTCCTTTTTATAGTTTGAGATCCAATGTAGGACACCACATTGCATTTGGTGCCACGCTCCTAAATCTTCCCAAACCGTGACGTTTCTTAGCTTTTCTTTGTCTAAGAAAACTTTTTTGAAGAATACCAAACCCGATTCCGACTCATAGCTTCCCTACAGGACAGAGCACAGCTGTGCCAGAGGCTTCCCGGGGCTGTGGATCTTTATGGAGGTAGATCGCCACTTCTTCGCTAGTAGGTTTGAATCGCCAACCTTTTTGGTTGGCAACTGAGCGCTTAACTACTATGCCACCAGGGCTCCTGCACTTTGTAAAATGTCCCTCCACTGACGTTGTCTTATGTTTCCTCCCAAGTGAACTGGGGTTGTGTGTTTTTTACCAGAATGTCCTACAAGTGATGCGCTTCCTTAGTTTGTCCCAGCAGAAGGCAAGTCATGGCGACACATCTTCTTACTGGAGAGGCAAACTATGGCTCTTGGCTCAAGATGAAGCCCTTGTCTCTTCCTGGTGGCCTAGTGGGTTACGCATTGGGCTACTAACCTCGAGGTCAGCCACTCAAAACGACCGGCCACTCTGCAGGAGGAAGATGAGGCCTTGTCCTCCCGTAAAGAGTGTCGGTCTCAGAAACCCACAGGGGCAGTTCTACTCTGCCCTCTAGGGTGGCTATGAGTCGACATCCATTGGGTGGCAGTGAGTTTGAAGCCTTTTAATGGAACAGAAATGACAGCTACAGTAATAGCACCTTTGGGTGGGAGGGGAAACACAGGGAAAGGCTCTCCTGGCCTTCACTACAAACCAGTAGAGAGAGAGCCCTGAGGGACCCAAACACCGCAAGCCATACTCTGACACTGGAGTGAGGCAGCACCTTAGAGTGTCACTGCCCGACACCAATGGAGCACCGTACTGGGAGACCTTGGTCAGTCAGGGGCAGCCTGAGGGCAACAGGTTTCCTGAAGGAGGAGGGGTTGACGTGAGGGCAATTAGGCCTTTCAAGATTCCTCTTCTTTCCCCTCACCTCCTACTTTTTTTGAAAAAGACTGCTGTGAATTCGGTAGGGTTCTGGAGCACATCACAGTTTCACATGCGGCCTTCCGGCCCCGCTCTGCTCCCGCTCACCCAGTGCAATCTCTTCAGTGATCACTGGGATCCCACCTCCTCTCTGGGTCTCCCACTCCATTCTCCCTGCCCTCCCACCTTCGTCCTTGAATAAATGCTGCCCCTTTGATCTTACACAGTGGATGATTCGAACTCGGAGGTGAGTTCCGGTCCAGATCCGAAGCTTAGCCTTGGGGAATTCCACCCGTCTCTAGCCTCCTACTATTTAATTTCTCTCTGATGTTGCCCTCTACCCTCATGTGATCTCTCTCTCTCTCTCTCTCTCTCTCTCTCACACACACACACACACACACACACACACACACACACACACACACACGAGTTTGACATCGGCAGCATTGTACCTTTCCTTCTGCTATTCCACCTTCCCAGCAGACCCCATCCCCACTGTGTCTCAGGTGACTGGTGCGTATTGGCCCTCCTCCGGGCACGCTCGTCCTCCCCTCCCCTCTTCCATCCCAAACCACATGGGGTCCCATCGCGTCCAGCACTAGTGAAGTCCTGTTTGGGTACAATCATCGCTGCTGACCTGCTCAGAAGGCGCAGGCTCACCTGCGAGCAGACCGTTTGGAGTCTACGGGCTCACTCAGCAGGGGGGCCATAGGCCTCAGGGGGCTTGAGGCTTTCCCAGTTCACGCTGTTGCCTTGGCTTGCTTAGCAACACCATCCCTTTCCTGTTCAAAAGCCTCGTGGTTTGTGTGATAAAGTGTTCCGTCACCAAACGACACAAAATCAAGAACTAACAATGGCAATTATAGGCATTTTTGCAGCCCAGGAAAATAATTGTATGTAAATGAAGCTTCTCGGGTTCTGCAAACCATCCCCCCACAGCTCAGCCCACCTTTTCCCTCGAAATCCACCAACCTGTAGGAATCAGGGTTTCATCCACAGGCAAGAAAGCATCTGCTTCAATAGTGACTTCATGGTCATATATATTTGGAGAGCCCTGAGAGAGAGAAAGAAAAGAATGTGTACTCTTACTTTATGTGTTTGCTTTAGAACTTCTCTGACAGACATATTAGTAGACATTGATAAAAACCTAAAAATCCCATCTGAACTATGGTGACAGGTTCGCTTTAGTACAGGAGACAGGGCCACAGGGTTGCCACGAATACACCTAGACTATGACCCCAGCGTGCCCTTTCTTTTCTAAATGGAATCACGAAGGCGAAAAGTCAGAGAGTCAGGCCTTGGTGAATTCGCAGAGAGATATTTTCTATTTTCCTTAGGAGCCAGGAAGAAGCCCTGACAGTGTGGTGGGTTAAACATCGGGCTGCTAACCTCAAGGTTGGTAGTTTGAAACCACTAGTTGCTCTGCAGGAGAAAGACAAGGCTTTCTACTCCTGTAAAGAGTTAGAGCCTCAGAAACTCAGAAGAGTGCGTCCTACTCTGTCCTGTAGGGTCGCTTTGAGTTGGAATGGACTCCGTGGAGTTTGTTTTTGTTTTATCCTGTGCCAGGAAACCAAAAAAGGGAGAGTCAGTGGCCAAGTCGCTGTCAAGGCACCAGCGGAAGCATATCTGTCACCCTTCTCTAGCCCCACCCAACCCCACTCAGCTCCCACCCAGAGGAGTCAGCACAGAGGCCTTGCTTTGAAGAAGTTGCCCATCTGCTATGTAAAGATGTGGCTCACCTTCCAGGAGCACTTAAAGGCTTGTACAAAAAGCACTGGCCAATGGTTCAATGGCCTGGGGCCTACTTCTGGCTCTTATCGAAAGGCCCTGGGAAGTCACTTCACCTCCAAGAATCTCAATCTTTTTTATAGAAAATTGGGATAAAAACGTCCCCAGCATTCTTGTGAGAAACATTTCATTGAGGAGTGTTGGGATGCTAGCGAATGGGAAAATCCTTTACCCATGTGCTTTTCTGATTCAGGAGATACTTCTTAAAAATGACGAAGAGCCACTCATTTTAAAGCGTTGTGGCAGAGAATGTAGAGAGGGGATTAGGTGAGGGGTTTTGCTTGGTGAATGTTCAAGAATCAGCTAAACCGACGGTCCTCAACTGAGAGTGACTTTGCCTGGTTCCCCACTGGAACCAGATGTTGTTCTTGGCAATATCTGGAGACACATTAGGCTGTTGAGACTGTGACAGGTGCGTGTCCCACTGGCATCCAGTATGGAGACAGCAGGGATGCTGCTCAACATTCTCCAGTGCACTACAGTGCAGGACAGTCCTACAACAAAGGAGAATTCGGTGCAGGTGGCAATAGTGCCAGCTTGGAAAGCCCTGAGCCGAGCTAACCTAAAGTGTCTGCTGGTTTCCCGAGAAGTAAGCAGAGAGGGGCAGGGGGCTGCAGGCGAGCTGGAAACACACTCTAGGGTCAGAAAGATGAAAGCCCGCACAATCAAATGGAATGTTCTGGGGAGAAAGGCCAGATTTTAGAGACCACGAGGATCTGGTGCATCCTCACAGAAACTGGTTTAACGGCACCACGAGGCTCTCCTTGTGAAGAACCCAGTTGGAATCTCAGTCCTCTCCTCGTCCTCCCAGCAGAGACGTGCAGGTGAGGGCTGAGAATGGGTGGGAGGTAAGGGCAGGACAGAGACGGCTCTCTTACCTGCACTTCTGTCTTAGCTGCTGTTTGGTGCCTGTTCTGGCCTGGGACAGGCAGATGCACAGTGGGAGGGTTCTATATCCATGTCTAGGGCAGTGTGTAACTAGAAGGGTCCCTTTTCTGTGTGACTCTCCCTACTCCCATCTCTTGACTCAGAGGGTGGAACTGCCACCAAAGGGGTCTCTGGAAGTGAGGTGGGTGGAGAGAGGGGGAGAGAATTTAGGGCTGATCCCCTGGGTCTATTTGATGGCAAAATTCTCGCCTTCTCTGTGGAAGACGAGCTTAATCCCCCACTCATCTGTCAGGCGAGGCTTATGTGTTGTGTTGATGCTGGCCAAGTCTCAGCAGCGCTTACCACTACAATGGACCTGGGAGAAAGGCCCGCCGACCTCCTTCTGCCGTCAGTGGAAACCCCATGGGTCACAACTGGTCATGGGGTGGTGGCGGGCCAGGTAACATGCTTGAGCTTCACCCATGGTTTGGTATGCATCAGGAGTCTTCATTAGATGGTCATGGTTTAGATTGTATCGGCAATAAATGTTCCTTTTTACTGAAGAATATTCCATTGTACGAATTTACCACAATTTGTTCATCCATTTTCCTTGACAGACTTTCAACTTGTTTCCTGGTTTTTTGGTTTTTTTTTTGCTATTTTGAATAAAGCTGTTTAGGAAATGCCTCTGTTTTGGGGACTAGGGCAGAGAGCTAATGATTCAACATGAAAATCAACCCTTCCACCCAGCTAGGTTCATGAATCTCAGGTGTCCCAAAGAAGGCTGGGGGAGAAAGGAGCACGTATTGAACAGCAACTGTCTCCAAGGTCACCGGGTCACCGCTGCACCAATGCCTTCCCGAAAGGGTTGCATGCTTCCTGAGCATCTTCCCTGGCCCGGGCGGGGGTGATCCACTGTGGTGGAACATGACGACGGCTGGATTAATTCCCTTTCAAAGTTGATGAACACTTAGCAAGAAATGTTGATTCACAAAGACATTTTGAGGCCCCTCTCTGAGTTCAGTGTTTGTTTTAGTTAACTCTGCCTGGCTGCTTCTAGTTCTGTAGCATTAAGCATCTACAGAACGTGATGGCTTGTGGGAGGCATTAAAGACCTTGGGCACTGCCACTAACATTGTCTTACTGCAGCAACGATCACCTTTAGCAGGGTATAATACCCACTGGGTTATCATCCCAAAGCCACGCAACCCCTTTTCAGCACACCCCTTAGCCCTGACAGAATCTTGATTTGTTTCTTCATCCTATTCTAGACCATCTACTTTAGGAAGAAAGACCTCCCCCGCCAGCCCCAGAGAGTGAATTTTGATTGGCCTAGAATCGGATTAGCCAGGGAAATACCAGTCTAATTTCCTTTCTGTGACTGGATGAGGCAAGGCTTGGGCCACACTTTTGGCCAGTGAAAGGTGAGTGCAAGTCTGCTGAGGGGCTTCCAGGCCAGGCTGTCCTTGTTCTTCCAAAGGGAAGATTAGAAACATATAGAAAAGAAGGACCTCTTTGCTTGTCTCAATGTAACTGTGGAAGGAGATGGGGCCTGGAGCCATCTGTGACCAGAGGGGAACAAGTCTGAAGATAAAAATCCAAAAAAACGGAAGTAGCAGAATGGGAGGATGGAAGTTTATGGGCCCTTGATAACATGCTGACTCAGTTATACCTGAACGACAGCTCTTGCTTGCCATGTCAAATTCATCTTGGCCTGTTCCCATAGCTCTTTAGGTGGAGTTTCAGTAAAAGCTTGTTCCCACATTTCATTGGTCAGAAGTGTGTCTCACATCCTGCCTATCCCAGTTGTGTGTTAGGAACAGGTGAAACCAGGGGGTGGGGGGTGAAACCAGGGAGTGTGTGTGTGTGTGTGTGTGTGTGTGTGTGCAACAACAGACAAACCAAACCGCTACTGTTTCCATTCTTTGAAAACCATGGTTCTCCCCACCCTCACACTTTCAACGTCCCCAAGGTGTCAACTCAGAAGTGGCAAGTTCTCCATGCTTGGGCCCCAAGTAGAACAAAAATGCTGCCTATCAAATGAAATCAATACAAAGTGAAAATACGTATGATGGGCTGATTATTTTCACGATCAAGTCTAGAGCTCCTTCCCCGGGGAGTTTTTGAATGATGATGATGCTTCTCCAGGTAGGACTAGAGATGTTCTGGAGATGCAGAGACGTCTGGATCCAAGCCTGGTGATCCAAGACTGTTCGCTCCTACCTGAATGCCCCCGAAGATGGGAGGTCACTGCCTCCCCTCAATTCTGAAGCTGGTGGCTGAGCAGTTCAGCTAGACTGACCTAAGGACGGGAAGCTCACTGACCACTCTGCCAGGTGGGGTTTATAATCTATTCAGCTTCTGAGAAGAGACTTAGAAAAACCTGTCACGATCAGTTCTTGTTGGATTGAAAGGATAGAAAACCCTGGCAGGAGGATCCTCTTGCCAGGTGGACAGAAAGAACCTTAGTGATCGTCCCTACCCCCACGGCTTGTCTCCTTCATGGGAGCATATTGACAGAGGTAATACTTCATGCACAATGTCTCTGTTTCTGAATTTCTTCCACTAGATCCCTCTCTCTACAAAATAGGATATCCCAATTATAGAAAA